TGCTAGGTGGGAAAAAGGATGCCCCAATGGCTTTTAATCCTAGTTTCAGTCAGTGAAGTCTCCATCTCAGCAGGTCCCTATGACTCTCAGGAGAGATGGCCGTCTCCAGCCAGGGTTGCTATAGCTAGAGTGTGGAAGGGGACAGCACTGTGCTTTTCTCTTCTCTTCAACATGATTCGTTCTACTCATTCAGTGCTGTACATTTCTTTTTTTTAAAATTTATTTATTTATTCTAATTTGTTACATATGACAGCAGAATGCCATTCAGTTCATATTACACGTTTGTATTAGACTTGCGAATTTTCTTCTGTTTAAAAAAAAATCCATGAATTTATTTTTTTAATTTAATAAATATTTTCAAACAATGCTGTAAGCATAGCATACACACCCACTTTAAACTAAACTAAAAATAAACACTTAGCTTTACAACACATTTCTTACCTTAATGGTCTGAAGAATTGCATGACTCATTTGTTTCACAGAGTTTCCTTTTGAAAAGATTGAAGGTGACACATTACATAGTACCATCACCTCTAAACCCCTACTTTCCACATATGTTATATAATCACGGAACTCTGTCAAGACAGAATAAAAAGGCATCCTTCTGATAAGAGGGAAAAAGCAAATTTTGCCTGAGGATAGTGAGAACATCACAAATTAAGTCAGAACTCGAGATTATACTGCATTAAAACAGTATTATTGGGCTGGGGATGTGACTCAGTGGTAGAGTGCTTGCCAAGCATGCACGAGGCACTAGGTTTGATCCTCAGCACCACATACAAAAATAAATAAAATAAAGGTATAAAAAATTATTATTAGACACAAGGACAATACATTATTTTGAGAGAAGGTTTCAGTTTTATAATAGTTCACAAGAATCCACAACAACGTGTAATCAAGTTTTTTTTCACACACTCATAATTTAAACTCTATGTGTAATTTCCTGAGGCAAAAAACATAATTTACAATCTGAATAATATACTATATGTTAAAAAAATAAAAGTACTCCCAGTGGGAAGGTAAAAGACCAGTCAAGTAGTTTCCCTCTGAAAAGCTGAACATTGCTACGCTCATTTCTGTATATAGGCTGAAATAGAAAAAAAAAAAAAAACAAAAAAAAAAAAAAACTTTAGAAAGATTTTAAAAGGAATCCTCAAAAGTGATTTAAGAATGAGACATAAGAAAGTTGAAAGAACTGATTATTCCACTGGACAAATCTCTAATGCAGACTTACTTTTAAACCACCTTTAAGTTTATGATGTGCTTTACATAGAGAACAGAGGGCAGGTGTTTCTGACTTCCATAGGGGGTAATAAGCTCAAATCCTTGTGGGCCAGATTCACCTTATGTATAAAGAAGTGTCTCACTGTGAGGCTCATTAAACATTTGAATGAGCTCTGGAGTAGGTTACTGATCTCAGCCTCTGGAAGTTTTTCACTGTGGTGGAGTCTCAATCATTTGAGATATTTGAAGGCTCTTCTCTTTTTCAGTTGCAGAAATAGATTTTATTACTTCACAAGCATAATTTATTGCTTTAGTTTCTGTGATTTATGCTGTCATAAAGTGTAAAGAGAATTTTGTGTTTATTGCAATGTGAGCACGGGAATGTGAATATTTGGGGAATGTGAATATTTGAACCATACATTGTCGTTTTAAAATGTTGCATAAAATTATTTTTTTCACTAGGCTTTTATATAGTATAAACAGCATATCAATATGGATATGTTTATAATTGTTTTATTTATTATTGTGCAATGTACACCTTTACAGTCATTCTCTTAAGTCAATCATTAATAAATTTTACATAAATATTTGTATTAAATATTTTAATTTCTTCCCACAGTTTAATACAACACTTTGCAAATTACAAAAGCCAACAGGATTCCATAATATGAAGAAAAATATACACTATTAAAGATTGTGTGTTAAATTATGAGAAATTAGATACTTGAGTATATTTTTCCATTAAGGGTATTTTTCATCTGTATTTCAGACATGAAGTATCTAACACCTAACATTTCTTTAAATTACTGTGAAAAAAATAACTGGAGTGGATGGATAAAATTAAAAAGGAATGCAAACAGTTTATTTTCTATAACTTTTTGATTACACTGAAGAGAAAAACCTTTAAAATTAAGTGATCAGTTCCTTACATAAGCTGATGAATAGCTAGAAACAAATGCATTTATGAAAAAGCAAAAATTCTTTGTGTGTGAGTTGATAATTCTATGTAAACGTAGAATATATCAGAAAGCTTTGAAATTGGATGTGTTTGCTCCATTCTTCCCAGCCTGAAATGCATCAGCAAATGAATAGCCGTATTAATACTGAACACTGTAGAACAATTGTCCTGGGCATCAATTCTAAAATGTAATCACATTTATTTAGTATGTTTGATTGTTACTTTGCCCAATGTTAATCCATCAGCTCTAAAAGCAAAATGATAATCAAGTCTTTAAATTGACCTCTTTAAAGCTTTGAAATAAGTGGGTGTGACTATAACTTTAGTCATACTGTAACCAATTTCCGTTCTGCAGAACTTTACAAGCATGAGATTTGCTTCTGAAATGGAGGGAGTTGTTCCTCCTCAGTCTAATTGCTCCAACCTTCAACTTCAACTCTGTCATATTTCCTATTCAGATTTTCATTTTTGAATTAACAGGTGGGAGGAGGTCAATTCAACAACAGTAGATTATATTATTTAAGCAACTCTTGAAGTGGGGTGGATTTTAAGTAAAAACAATGCACACATAACTTTAAACAGCAATGGAAATATGTCTGTTAAGCTTAGGATTTTATTTAAGATATTTGGCATAATGTGTGCTAAAGCTTCTATGTTCTCATAAATATGAACCAAATTTTAACAATATAGTTTCTTATTATATCAGTCTAATTCAAATAAAATTTTTAAAAAATCATGCTGATATTTTTCACATGAGTAACATTTTAACCTAATAAGAAATGATATTTTAATAAATTAAACATCTTCTTGGTTGGCTAATATCTGCATTTATAGAGATGTAGTTTTTTGGTATATAATTTTTCACATTATGAATTAGTTTATAGATTCAGAATATGTTATTCCTGTGTTTCTTTTGTCCTTGAATTACTAAAATAAGGTTTTCTATTAATCAGAAAATGCTATAACCTATAAGTGTTATCTGCAACTTATTTTGAAAAATTAATATTATTTGTGGAGTTACCATATTTCCTGGGTTGACCAAGAAATCACAGAATCTTGGGTAATTATTAATAGTGTTCTTTTTCATACAACAAGTATCCAATTGGGGTAATAAGTTATTTTGGTCACTTTAATTGTTTCAATTCATTTTATAAACTAGAATTTTCGTGGTTGCAATCTAAATTTTCTATATTTCTATATTCAAAATTACTGAATAATTTTCAATTCAGATTGATCCAAATAAAACATATTTGAATTACTCATCTAAAGTGTACCATGAAACAGGAAAATTGAATTCAAGGACATAAGAAAATAGGATTAGATTCTATTAAAAGAGCAAAGTTTCTGTTTATAGAATCTTCTCTGTAGCATTATGGCTATACAGTAAGACTACCTTGTAGTCTCCTACTGTGGCTAACTTGTTTTATAATTCATTATATCATCTGATATTACAAAACACAATGTTTTGATTACTTTCAATAAGAGTGACTACACAATATACGTAAATAATCATCCTCACTTTGATTTTTGTTAATAGGATGCCTGAATTTTACAGTTTTAGCTGATTTACCTGCTGAATGTTGAACTAGTAAAGGGACATTTTGGTGATTAGAAACTGGGTTAGAGAAAAAAAAAAGTAAGAGGATCAGGGAAAATAAACTAGGAAAATCATAAAATTAGGAAACTTACTTGAAGTGAGTGGAAATATGAGAGGAGAGGGATTAAAATTGATCAGCATATTCTTATCTTTGATAAAAAAGACAAATAGTTGTTGTACTACTTAATGTATTTCTTAATTTCTAATGAGATTCTCATATATGTGATCTTTATTTCAACTGATCTATCATAATTTTCACATTTTTATTATACACCTATTAGGTGCTGGTTAGTGATCTAGAGGGGACAATTTCTGTTCTCATTATGCTTATGGTCAAATAGTATGAAGATTATGTAAAAGTGTTAAAACTGTCCCTTATCATTACAAATTAATAAAGTGCTTACAATTATAGGTCTGGATAGTTGAATCTGAGCATTCCATTCCATAATCAAAGGTTTTATAAGACT